CCTTCCCGCCCGCCGATTGCGAATCAGGTTTTCCCGCATTCTTATCAATCACTCGCTTCAGAAGGTAGACGAAGACAACGGTGACGATTAGCACCACGAGTACCACCACTTTGGCCAACAACACGAGCGCGCCGTACTTTTTATCCGCGGCTAGAATTGACAGTACAATTGATTAGGCAATGCAGTGACCAGAAGGCAATGGATCCGTTACCTGAGATGACCATATTATTGAAAATACAGACCACTTCGAAGCACATGAGCGCCAGACATCCGATCAGAAACCAATTCAAGTACTGAACTTTTGTGCAAATATTGCCGATCAGTCCCAATACTGCGACTACAGTGAAGGCCCCGTAGACACCGACGTGAATCAGTGACCAAATGCCAGATATAGCCGGATCGCCCTTATTGTACCGCACTATATACCAGATAACGAACACCACTCCCACCACAAGACATCCGATCAGACAATACAGCGACCATTTCTTGAGCTTTGGCTCGCTATTGACCAAATCGACGGCGTCGTCGACAGTCATTATAGAGCTGAAGAGATATGCGTTGACACGAGTTGTGGACACAAAATGTGATAAAGAGTTAACACAGAGTTTGAGAATCAAATTAAGCACACAATCCGTTAAGTCATTCAATAGTTTTGTTTGATTTAATTTGGTTTGAATTTTGAATGCATTTTACGCTATAATAATAGTGAATACAATAATTGAAATATAATTCTGTGAACGCGTTATAAATCTCATGCATTGCTTACAGAATATATTGTTAACAACAATTCTGCATTCATTTTGCGTCAAAAATTTGATAATTATTTTTGTATTTGAGTATAAACTTGTTTACTTTTAGTATTTGAGTGAATGTCTAAAAAATCACAAAAATCTAAATCCAATTATCAATTCAAACGTCTATTTGTATGATTGAGACGATTCTCGCGAGAGATTAATCGCAAACCAATTAATTGTTGCATTCATTTCATATCAAGTGTTGGTTTCAATGATTTAAACCATTGTTTGGTATAATTAGTGTCGAAAGCAATTACAGCGCGTTTTACTCATTGTATTGTTTGAGACATTTGTCTATAAATAGCGATTACTTTTGAATTTGAATTCATTTCGAAACCATTTATTCGTTTGAATTCTTGAACAAAATTATTGAATCAAAAGT